GGACCTGCACAAAAAATAAATCATAAGTTGATAAATAACAGCAAACTGGTAGTGAGAATTTTTCTTTATATAAACTAGGGGGCCAAACAATTAATAAGGAACAGTTTAGCAGACAGGTGATTGGTCAGATGACCTCCAGTGGCAGAAAACTGATGGCAACATGAGGACATGCAAGGCGTTTATAACTTGATTTTCTGTTACACATATGGTACCTAGGAAATAATAAAGCGTTCTGGAAACGATGTTCCTACTTACTTGATGTTCACTGTGGCGGATTACACAACTCATGCAAGTTTTCAAGAGTTTCGACATTTAAAACTGTCAAACTTCATTCAGCAGCAGAAAATCTAAAGTAGTGATTTCTGTATTGAGGGAGCTAAAACCTGCAAACACACTGGTATGGTACTCAACGTTTCAAACAAGTACTGCAAAGTCAATTAAGATGGTGACAGTGATATCCCAGATAGGAAGTCAACAAGCGCTACTGAAATGCACCATGAGGCTTTTCAAGTACCGGTCTGGACAGCATTGATCCAAAGGGATGATCGGCCATATTGGTTTGAAACAGGCTATCGATCAGAATGGAGGCTGCAGCATAGCAGAGCTGGAAATCACAAATCGATCCACTTTTGTCGTCATTGGTTGTAGTTTGTTCACTCTTTTTGTAAAGTAAGCAGTCACATTACTGTCGATGCAGATGCACTTCAGGATGTACAACAGGAAGTCGTTACTGTGATAGAAACGTGTGCATCATCACATGAAGTGCTGATTCTGTCCGTCTTTAGCTGACTCTGTTGCTGGTCCAAGTCTGTTACGTTCAGTTCAGTACTAAACTAGTCTATACAAGCACTGCACATGAGATTTATAGTTAAGCAGCCTATTAGTGACAGCACAGTTTGACAGACAAAAGGAGTCTGTGGCTTTTGCTGCCTTTAATATGTTTTTAACAAGGAAGCAGTGGTGGAAGAAGCACTTAGATCTTTTACTTACTTAAATAAAAGCACGTAAGTATTGGCATCAAAATATACTTAAAATACCAAAAGTAAAAGTTCTCATTATGCAGAAAAGGCCCATCATTACTAATCTTAACTTTACTTATACCTATACTGCTGGGTATCTTCATTTATAATAATACATCATTTATTAGTTGATTTTGTGCTAATAATCTAAATCTGCAAAGTAACCAGTAACTAATGTTGTCAAATAAATATAGTGGAAAGTACAATATTGGCTTCCAAAATGTAGTGGAGTCAAAGTTTAAAAACGAATTAGTAAAATGGAAATACTACTGTACAAGTACAGTACTTGAGTAAATGTACTGACCACCTCTGCAGCTCTGTCAGACTGGCAGGGGCTGATAAGTATCATTCAGTACAGTCAAACAGTCTCCTGATCAGCAGATATAGGCTTTTAGAACAGAATGGAAAAACCTCCTTTTATATGATACCTACTAAAGTGTCGTAAAATGTTCAGGCATTGTTCAGTTAAGACGACACCGGACCATGAAGGGGGCAAAATCTCATCTAGTCGTCTGGTCTGTATGTCAGCTTACAGTAAGCAGCAGGTGTGTGGACAAATTAACAGACAGGTGAGGCGACACTGTGACTCTCATTATGCTCTCTCTAACACACACACACACACACACATACACAAACCCAAATACACATCCACACACACTCAGTCAGACACAGAAAGCTACGCACACAGTATCTATCTTTAGCTGTATAAATAGGCGTGTAATTAATGTTTAGAAGTCGTGAGGTGGAAACATGAACATTTAAACTGCCATTAAGTTCTCATCAGGGGCCGAGAGATAGAGAGAGGGAAGAGGGAGACAAATGGAGAGAGCGGGAGTGATGGAAAGAAAAAGAAAGAGAGCAAGCCCAGGGGAGCATGAGAGATGGATGATATCAGATCAAGTTCATTATTAGCTGTTATCAAAATACAAAAACTGCTATACATGCATTTATAGCATGTATTGAGGGGAATGGCATTGTGAGTATTTAAAGAAACACTTTAATATTAGTCTGTGATCAGCAGGCTGTGATTCATCCATTTGATTGTTTCAATCACACAGCACACAGCACTCCAAGGTCTTTACCTAAGTAAGTTGACAACTTTGGTTTCAATCAGAGGCCAAACTTGAGATGGACTCCCTGCAGATTCCAACAGCTAATAATACAGCACGGTTTGGGACCATGAACTGTCATTTATAGTGTCGACTTAAATTACGTAACATGACTGGCATATGTCTGTGTATTTTAATCACCTCAGTGGACTCATACAACTCTTCTTCAACCTGGTTTAACCCCCTCTCACCTTCCTACATGTATGTGCAAGACTACTTAACGTCTGAGCTGAACGCCTCACTATGTTAACTGGGTGGTTGAGTGATTAAATAATTGCCTGTTCTTTCCTGGTCATGTTTGTGCCTCTTTCAACCACCCAAACACACTCACACTTTCAAGTCTTTCTCTCTTCCTCTCCTCTTCCTCTTCATCTCCTCTCCCTCTTCCTTTCCTTTGCTTTCCTCTCCCTCTCCTCTTCCTCTCTTCTTCCTCTCCCTCTTCCTTTCTTTTCTTTTCATTTCCTTTCCTATCCCTTTCTTCTCATCTCCACCTCTCCCTCTCCCTCTCCTCTCCTTTTCCTCTTTCTCTCATCTTGTCTTCCTCACCTCTCCTCCTCCTGTCGGCCAGTGATTCTGATCTTACCAGAAAAACACATAAAATAAGAAGTCTGGGTTTAAATTGTGTCCTAGTAAATATATCTTAATATCCTCAAGCAAATAAGATGTGTTTGATTGCAGGGGATGAATGTGATAATAAACCAACTTTGTGTTCCCTCAGTGAGTTTACAGTACCTATACTAGTCAAACATTTAAAGAACATTGCATAGGTCCCATGATACAGTATACTACAGTATAACACACTGGACCAACTGTTGTTTTGTTTTCCAGCGGAAAGTACAATGAAACAAGGCCCATCTAGCACATGAACCATTATGATAGCGTACCTATGCTGACCTCCGCACAAAACATAATGGAAACAGCAACATGATGGGAACTGATCCTTGTACAGCTGGAGAAATGTTAGCCTATTGCCATCCATCCATATCAGACATCTCTCAACACTGGTTTTGTGCTCTAGGACAGAGGGACCCCTCCAAAAGTTCACAAGATCATGCTATGGGGTTGTGGTACAGTTACAGTTTTTTTAAATTGCTAAGATGCAATGGTCAAAACTAAAGCCACTTTTTCAAAACTCTTCACACAGTCTGCATTAACAACATGCATCTTGGCCAAACAATTAATCTCACCTGCAAAAGTCACTCAAACCACCAAAACACTTCATACAAGTCTCAAAATGAACTTGTTCAACCAAAACACTGCCAACAAGTCTCGCTCAGAAAGCATCCATTGTCAATCATAACACACTGACCTATAAAACACTAACAACAGGATGCATTATCTAAATTTGATTAACTTTATCTTCAAAATGTGACAGATCTTTCATATAAATCAGTATTTCATATAGAATACAGTTGTTCTCAGACACTTTGGTACATTTCTCAGATCAGAATTGAAATTCTACTTGTTCAGCCTCCACATCATCTAGTCATGTGTGCACATCATATGTAAAAGCAATTTCTCAAATTGATCGAAATTGCAAATGGCAAATGCTTTGACACATTTATGCAAATGATTATGTACAATTGTCTGCTGCTTCTTACATTATCAGTTGCTTACTGTATGTCATGTTGATTACAATGTATTACAGTTTGGTTCTCTGTTGAGTAGCCTTACCCCCCCAAAACATCTAGTCATAAGTTCATTGCATAAGTCGCTACATGCAAAATGATTGAATATTTAATAATGTGCAAATAATTTTTTCTACATGTCTATTACTTTTTTTGTGTGCTACAGTAAATTGATGAAGATATCTGTTATGATGTCAATAAGAATCTGTGAATGACTGTAGAAATGTACCAAAGCAACTGAGAAAAACTGCATTCAGCAGTTTGCTTCTCAGTTCCAGAAATTTCAGTGCTGCAATTCAGTTTTTCTCAGTTGTTTACACAGTAACACTGGTACGTGAGACACAATGACCACAACTTGTAATAGAAGCACCAACCACTTGAACCAATTCTGCTAAAATACAAGCACATTTCCTGCTTTACACTCAGCTTGCAGTTATGCAGTAAAACCAATTTCATAAAACTACAAACATTTCTCTACGCACATAGATGTAAACATAAAATGTACGTAAATGTAAAATATTTTCTATATATTTCAGACTGGTTGCTGCAAAAATGCAAGATATTTGCAATAATTCTGTTTTGAATTTGTTTTTAACAGTTTTGGACAAAGTGTGTTAGCATTTGAAAAATGTGCTGCAGATATATAGAGTTTTGCAGGTGGTGAAGTAGTAATGAGAAAAGAGTTCATGGATTTTGGAGAAAGTAGTCACTGAATGCATTTTGTATGAAAGCAATGAAAATTGATTCACAGTTTGGTCCACATACACTTCTGTTTCGGTGACTGCGTTTTGAGTTTTGACAATGTGACTTCAGTTTTGACCAATGCAGGTTAGCAATTGAAAAAAAACTAATGTGACAGCAAAAAAGTTCTGCTATACTCATATTTCTCTGCATTTTGTTGGGGGCAACTTTTCTGCAAAACGCTGAAATAGTTTTATATTTTTTGACCTCCAACATTCAGATAGAAGTAAAATGACTCTTTGGTTATGCAACATGTCCAACTTGTGACAAGGGTCAAGTAGAGACTGACTTATTACAAGGCTAATGTGCCAAAAAAAAGTTTGGGAACCACTGCTTTAGGATGGTCAAAGCTGTAACTATAAGAGAGAAACTACATCAGAACTTCCTGGGCCTCAATCTGAAAAGACTCTTCTCCACCTCTGTTTCCCTCTTCCTTGTGCTCTCTGTTTTCTTTTGCTTCACTCTTATTGGTTTCCCATGTCTTTCTGTCTCTCCAACAATTCCTCTCTCACACTTGCCTGGCATCCAGCTCCTCTACACCAAGGTTTCCTTTCTGAAATCCTCAGGTTGATTCACCCATTATTTTGAGGAGGGTTTTCGTTTAAACATGACTCTGGAAGAGGGGTGGACCTGACCAAATGCTCATTAGTGCTTTCTCACCTCTAGTGAATAACCTAAACATGCAGCAAAAATAACTATCGATTTAGATAGGGAATCCTGAAACTCAGAAGATGACCTCTGTCGGTTTTGCGGACCCCGGTTTGAGAGCCATCTCTCTATATCCTGCACCTCCACCCCTTCCCCCGTTTTCTCCACCCCTCTCCTCCTCCTTCCTCTTGGTGTTATCCCACCGCTCCACCGGTGCGCTCAAAAGCCAGAGCGCAGACGGAGTGGAGCGCATGCAAAAGAGCTGACACAGGACAGCGAGAGAAACACCAGAGAAAGCTCTTTGCAGCGACATGTGGATGCAATAAAACGTTATCTTGCCAGCGCAGCATCAGTGTCCGACCAGCGGTAAAAGTAGGAGAGGAGCAGAAGAAAACGGAGCGCCTGTTCGTCACCCCGCTTCAGCACCGCAGGGAGGAGACACGCAGAGGAAAGATTCCCCTAAACGCAGTGAGAGCGTCGGATGAGGAGAAGAGGAGAGCGGAGGGCATCGGATAGGCTTCGACAAGGAGTAAGTAGGCTACACAAAAAGAGAGAACTTCATCTGAAACTCAGCAACAAACGTTTTCTATGTTTAAATCCAATACTGAAAACACAAATTTTAGTAAAAAATAACATGTAGCCTTGAAACTCATGCAAGTTGTCGTACTTCTCCACTTAGCGAGAAAGTAGAGATGGAGTTGTGTGTGTGTGTGTGTGTGCGTGTGTGTGTGTGTGATTATCTCCAACAGCTCTGCTTCCTGCACAGCTGCACTGACTGTACCTGTGTTTTAATCCATTAAATATGTATGAAGCTAAACAAATGTCAGGTAACCCACATAGCTTCCCAAAAGCACCTGGTCATTTTGCATTATTGTTTCTTGAAAACTAAAACCACCTAAACTCAGTTCCCACGATTTGCAGAATACCACCATTTCATATCACAGTTGTGTTTCATGTGCTTCTAAGGTGACCCTGAAGAAAGATTATTTCATTTAGGTCACCAGCACCTACTGTGTATGTTACGGTCAAACCTTCACGTGGAAGGCACTCAACTTAAGTGCTTTTTTCATTCTCATCCTAATAACATTTTGAGCATTCAGTATAAATCTGAATGCTCAAAAAGGCAGAAATTGATCTGGGTTAGTGCAAACCCTAGAGTGGCACCTGTGACCTCATGCTACAGCAAGGGGAAGGTAGTGTGGACTACAATATAGAGGTTCATTTGGAGGGCGTGTTCTGTATTTTATTTTAATAAAATTTTTAAATAACAGTTGTAGGCCTACAACACAATTGGAATTGGATTTTTATGCAGTTTGTTGATGAAGTTTGTGGTTTTGGCCTTAACAGTTTAGGCCGTTTACAGTAAATAAGACGGGAGATCATGCCACCTCTGCCTAAACGAAGCATGACTTTTCACAAATTTTTACAAGTTTCTGTCAAAACGTCTCTTCTCTCTTCCTCTTCTGTCTCAGTGATCCTGAACAGACCCCACCTCCTGACCCCACCTATCCTCCCCTCCTCTCGGCTGCTCTTTTCTCTCTCCTCCTCCATTCATCCCCCTCTCTAGACTCACATGGACACACACTCTCCCACTATGTACAATAGGCAGGGCGGCAAACAAAAAACGGATTGGATACCCCTAGTGCATTCATTTCAGTGTGATTTCTATATATGTGTAAAACAATAGTCCTAAAACAATTATAAAAGTGAGACAATGAGAATTGAACAACAGATACAAAACTGAGTCGTTTAACTCATTTTCTAAGTTAAAAATACCTACTTATACAGAGGTTTTGCGATTAAACATAAATCACACCTCTCACATGCTCACTTACCTGCTTAAAAGAAATATAAACATAAAAGAAATTTATTCACAAACCTCAGAAACTTCAGTCTTCTTTCTACACCCCTCTCAGTCTCACCAGACAGACCAACAAACTCTGTCTTCCTGATTCACCAATGCTTTCCTATTACGCTATCTTTCAAACTCTCATATCATCTCCTCACGCCCCTCTTTCTTCTTGCTTTCAGCATGCCTTTTATTCCCAGCTACTTTCTGTGTCTTATAAAAGCACACACATATATTACACACCCAATGTGCTTGATTCAGGCTTATTTTACCAGTTTGGATTTAAAGGCCAAAGTGATTTATTTATAAGTACTTCTAAAAGTATCAGCTAAATGTGTTTGATTGGAGTAGGAGAGCAGGGACAGAAATGGGGGAAAAGTGTGTGTGGGGGGGAAATCTCAATGCCATTTTCTTATTTCCCCTTGCAGTGGCAGCTCCAGACTTATTGGACCCTAAATCTGCCACTCACAATACCAAGCCCCGCCTCTCCTTCTCCACAAAGCCAATCACACTGACTCCCCGGGAGGAGAGTGAGGTGAGAGAAAAAAGAGAGAAGTCCAGATTATAAAAGTAATTTTTTATTCATTTTTTCACAAGGTTTAGAGCTCCCTTAAAATGTCCCTTTGGCATTATTATAGCTTATTTCTGGAGGCCTCCTGTGTGTATTTGGGTTGACTGATCAATTGAAGTGTTGCAGGTGGTTGCCACAGTGATGAAATGGAAGACGGTGACAGCCATCTTTCTTTTGGTTGTTCTGTACCTGGTGATGGGAGCGGCAGTCTTCAGAGCCCTGGAGCAGCCTCATGAGAGGTAGGCAGGTTGAATATATGCCTACTTGTCTCTTTGCCAACCTACCAGACAAGCAGTCCACCCAACCATCCACCTTCTAGACTGTAAGTCATTATAGTTACATATAGTTATGTCCACTTACTTCTTCTTTTTAACTCAAAGAGCTCTGACAAGTTCACGATTCTGAACTCAACTGTTTGAGTTTTCGAAGGTTAAACTTGCATTAATTAATTGTGAAAAAAATTTTATTTGTTGCAGATACAGATAGTGGTGTACTCGCTCCTCCCTACCAAATACACACAGCAGCTAAGTCATATATTTAAAGCAATTCCACTATAGAGGAAAAACCTAGTGTTGAACTCCAATAGACAACTGCAGTTTAGGAGTAACAAGCACATTAGTCTTATTCTGAAATCTTTACACTGGCTTCAGTTAGTTAGTTCAAAGTGCTGCTGCACGTTTGCTAATCACTAAATGGCTAAGAGCCAAAATATTAACTATTAATTACTACTAATTTACTACTATTGCTACATATTTTCACACAGCTTAAACCAAACCCACACGTGTTAATTTAAGAGACTTTGCTGTACAGTCATCAATCATTGACACTAACTGTTATCTCTCTGTTACCCTTTTTCAAATAAGGGGTTAGAGACGGGTGCACTCTGTTAAATTTGAAGGCATGATCACTAATATTTTTCAGCCTCACTTTCTTTCTCTCTCCTAGTGCTCAGCGTTTGGCCATCCTGTCCCAGAAGCTGACGTTCCTGTCCAGACACTCCTGTGTCAACCAGAGCCAGCTGGAGGAGCTGGTTAAGGTGAGACTTACCTCACATTACAACATTATGTATGTTTTGTACACAGATGTAATTCACCACAGCCGCAGTGGTTCTAGCACCATGGACAGCTCCAACAGTTTCACAGGAGTAAGCAGAGTCGAAGGAAGAAATGTTGAACCACAGAGAGTTTGTTTCTGATTTTGTTAGTCCAGTCAAGTTTTCCATTCTGAAATATGTAGACGTCCTTCTGGGGCTCCAACATTCACCTTAATGTATTCTCTTTGTCAGCTCTAGATTTTTGCCTCGCCTACAGTCATCTCAAGTTTTATAGATTTCCATTTTTAATTCATTAGACAGGCAAGCAGACACACATACTTTCCCGCCTACACTGCTACAAGAATGATTTATAATGATTTTATTTACAGCAGCAAGAAAGTAACAGAATATGTGTTATTTGTCCTAAATTTGTGTCTAATGGTCAATCATGTCTTGATCTGAAACACAAATTGGAACCCCCCCCCAGCAAGTTGTGTCTGCGATCCGCTCTGGAGTGAACCCTGCAGGGACAATGAGCAACCACAGCAGCCTGTGGGACCTCAGCTCCTCCTTCTTCTTTGCTGGGACTGTCATCACAACCATCGGTAGGACACACACACAGGAGGGGGACGTGCAGCATCTCTGTGTTTATTTAGAGCGTCTGCTGTTCAGACTGATTTTCCAAATGTAAATTTGTGTTTGGCTGATGTGTCGCTCACCTTAGTCTGTGTTATGGTATGAATAAATATTATTTAAATGTAAGTGAATGAACACTCCTGCTGTTATGGTTAGTTATGTAACCTGACTTACTGCTTTCAGAAGTGGAGGAGTCACTGATTCTATATCCTCTTCCTGGCCATACATTTAGAGAGATGCATTTTGTGTGTTCAGTGGATGTTCATGTCTCCCTGCACTACATTTTTTCACTCTTGAGTTCCCTCATACTAATTACCCTTCCTGTTTCCTTTTTCTTCTTTTGTTTTGTAGACAGTCACTTACTCACACTGTCTTGTAGGAGCCTGCTGTTGAAGCTGTTAATGCAGAGGTTCAATCAGAGGATACAAGCTAAAAAAATAGAATAGACATTTTAATACGTCAGGGAACATAATAGTAGATACAGAGATAGCGGATTATCTAATCCGTCATCTGATCACTGGCTTAGAGTGTTTACACCGGCACACTGTTGTGGGAAGCATGAAATGGCACCATATTTCTGAGTCTCTTTTTCTTTCTGTCCTCTCTGCAGGTTTTGGGAACATTTCACCCCACACAGAAGGTGGGAGGATCTTCTGCATTGTCTATGCGTTGCTAGGGATACCTCTGTTCGGCTTTCTCTTGGCTGGTGTAGGAGATCAGCTCGGCACCATATTTGGCAAGGGCATTGCCAGAGTGGAGAAAATGTTCGTGGTGAGTTTGGAGTGACATACACAAACACGTAGCGTGGATATACACACGGATACTGTATATCACAGGAAGGCCCACAGTTTGTGGTCTGCAGATGGCAAGTGTGTATAGGCTACCCTGAATAATTTACAACAAAGCACTCTAGACAATTTCCTCACTCACACCAGGGCCGATATCTGATTTAATTAGCATGCTATGCACTGATTTAACTAAAGCAAGAGTGGGCAAGATGCTTTAAAACCTATAATAAAGTATGTGTAAGTATTTGGTGATATAATAGTGATGTATACTATCATATAGTACATTTTCTGGAAAACCAATAGAGTTGAACTGTTTATAGATTTAAAATATCAAGTGTTTAGTCACATTGATGCAAAACTATACCATTACGATCAAGAATTTTGGTAGACTCTGTACCTTAGAGATGTGTCCTTCTCCTTGTTTGAAGTTTTTATCAAAATGACCTTGCAGTGCTGCGGTTCACACATTTACAGTTTCTTTTAATTTAAGTTGCCCCATTGGGAATTTAACACTGATGATACAGTAACAAGGTCAGCTTGTTTTTCAACCCCTTGTGTCATTGATCTTTTGTATTTATGGCCTTTTAAACAGTAAAGGTCACAAAAAGTCCAATTGTACATTGGTAGTGCAGTCTAGCACGCATAGTATATACAGTACGTGTGCTGTGTGTGTGAAAATGGTACTTTAAATGCAGTGCGAAGAAAAACTTGGACCTAACTTTACATGTGGATGAATAATTCTCCAGCTGAATGATACACTGAGAGGCTCCTGTGCATATTTGTTTGATATAAACTGCTAACGATACATGGTTCTGATTAAAAGCTGAAGTTAGGTGTAAAGCTACAGTAGGTTGGTCTTTAAGCAGCTGACTCCAGAGCTCAAACTGAGTAATAAAGTCTCTCATTTTGTGGTCCAAACTCAATGAAATGTTTAAACAAACTAAACTCTGATTGAGAAGCAGGTCTCCTTGTAGTTGCTGTTGAACAGTGCATTTTTAAGTTGATTTATTTATTTTGTGTAAACAGTCAAGCTGAAATGAAGTCACTGTTGAATGTCTTTGAAATCTGACTCCAGAGTGTAAATGCTTTGCTCCTGCTATGGCTGTCAGAGCACCCGAGGGACTCCGTAATGAATATTATGATTATGGCTGAGGACAGTTAATTGTGTAAGCGTGTGTTTGTTTGTGTGTGTGTGTTAGTCAAAGCCTTATTGCTCTGTTCCCAGATTGATTATTCTCAGTGAATACTGTGAATGTCTTTTTTCCCTACTGCACCCAGGGGATGAAATTAATGGAATAATACTATTACTGCTCACAGCATCTGGTTTTACCTTTTCTCTTTAAAAGGAGTTTTCTCTTCAACAGTGTGCTGTATCTGTTATGTGTCTGGTCCAGAATGAAATTTCTCCATAATTGTAAGATTGATTACAATGGAATTTGTTACACACCTTGATATCAAACTTAGAATGAATTGTATTAAGTTTGGTTTATGAGGAAATACCTGCAAAACTCATTCTCAGCTATACTTTGTGTGTAGTGCTAATTAGCAAACACACCTGACGTAGAGCCAGTTTGGGCTCAAACATTGTACTCTTTCTAAATGTAATAAAGAAAAAAAAATGAAAAGGTTGAACTCGACAGTGTTGAGAAACAACAAAATAAATTTTTTTTGGACTCAGTGCCCTGACATGAAAGATGTGTGTGTGTGTTTGCAGTTTGATAGTATTGTCACTGTGTGCATGGTAGCATCTTCCCAGAGCAGCATACATGGCTTTAACATGGCATCAAAATCAGGAGTATAAGCCCATATATTTTGCTTTGTGAGATAGCCCATCCTTCCATGTTGACTTCCACACAACGCTTAGCATCTTGCTGTGGTTTGAGCATCATTGCAGTTAATTCTCACTGCTGGACAAGGTGACAAATTTACATGTTTTTCTTAAAATATCTTAATTGGATCTGGATTTTCTCTTTCAAGACCCTGCTTGCCGCCACTCTAAGAGCTCCAGTGAAGAGGCAAATAACTAACTAAGCTTTCCTCAGCTTCTGTAACAAAGAACTTCAACAAACCATGAAAACTGAGGGCCAAAGCTTCACGTATGTTTGCGTGTGTTTATGTGTGTTCACCAACAGACCAAACAGACCAGATCTCTAGAATTTGAATGGTACCTGTTTTCACTATGATATTGCTAATTTTCTCTCTCTCTCTGTCTCTCTCTCTCTCCTGCAGCACTGGGACATCAGTCAGACAAAGATCCGCGTCATCTCCACCCTCCTGTTTGTATTGTTCGGCTGCCTGCTATTTGTGGCGCTCCCAGCGGCCATCTTTAAACACATCGAGGGTTGGTCTGCGCTGGAGTCCCTTTACTTTGTGGTCATCACCCTGACTACCATAGGATTTGGAGACTTTGTGGCAGGTACAAACACACAGGAAGTGATTGAATTCCAACACAGACACTTTAAACCTTTCTGTCTCTGCATTAAGCCTGTACATCTCGTCGAGTGGACTGCTTTGGATTCTACTGTATATATATTACAGTCATTGTCTTTGTCTGCCTGTGTCTCCATGTCTAGGTGGTTCTGAAATAGAGTACTTAGATTACTATAAACCTGTTGTATGGTTTTGGATTCTGGTGGGACTAGCCTACTTTGCTGCCATCCTCAGCATGATAGGAGACTGGCTCAGAGTCATCTCCAAGAGGACGAAAGAAGAGGTATGAGACTGTTGCTTTCACTCACTCCTCCATTCCCTGACTCTCTCTAATTTATTTTGCCACTTCTTTCTTTCTCTCTCTACATATCTGTTTATCTGTTGATGTATATGTTTCCGCCTCACCTTCTATATCTCCTTCTGTCTCTCTTTCGGCAACTAAGGTTTTTTGTGCTATTCAGTTACGGTGCCACGTCCTCAACTTTTGCCCTCTGCTTAATGTCATTTTAATGATACGACTGTTTTCTAATCCAATCCACTGTCTGCCATCCAAACACATAAACACAGTCATAGGCCATTACTGTGAGCATATCCAGAGACAGAGAAATAAGGTCATTTGGACAATGTGTGAAGGTGCAATTGAAAAACCTGGGGATTTCGCAACCAGAATGACACGGTCATCACCTTATATAGTAATCAGATTTAACTGGAGTTTTAGTGAGAGTTGAGTATGAATGAATATTTGGTCATAGCTTTTAGCCAGTTCTTAACTAAAAAACATATTCTTATTAATTGAATATACTAGGATTTTCTGTTGTAAATATTTCCTGTACACACTACATCTATTGTATGTCTGTCTGTCCTGGGAGAGGGATCCCGACTTGATCTTCCTGAGGTTTCTTCCATTTTTTCCCTGTTAGTTGTTTTGGGGGGAGTTTTTCCTTAACTGAATTTAGGGTCTAAGTGCAGATGCTGGCATATGCTCTAGAGATTATAAAGCCCCTTTGGGCAAACTGTGATTTGTGATACTGGCCTATATAAATAAAATTGCCTTCAGGGAACAATACCTTCAACAACATGATGACATGATGGCATAACAACTGGTAGGTGGATGCAAGATGCATTGTGTAAGTGTGTGTATGTGTGTGTTCACTAATGCTCCCCATGGGTTGTCATGCTGAAGTCCTGCTGTGATACGCTATAATCTTACTGGCACGCAAATGTGTGTGTGTTATTATCATTAGGCACTGTGATATAGTTAGACCTAGAGGCTGTATTTGAGGTGTGTGTGCACAACTGCCTCTTTAGCCCTGAAGTGATTGATACCAGAATGGTTGAAAAGCAGCTCCAGTCCCTTTTAGATGAGACATTAACACAAAACTGAAGCATGTTAGTGTCCCATTAAGGCACATAAATATTCTGGTTTTGGCGCAGGGCTCTGATCACCTCTGCTACACTTCAGTTTGTGTCGGTCTGTCTGTTCTTGTCTTTTATTGTCTCCATACTCGTCTGTCAGTGTCACTCTAATGTTATGTGTACCTGAAAGCTTTTAGCTTTTACTGCCAGAAGTAAAAACATTTCTGTAATAAAATACCTGATAGACCTCATGCCTGCAGGCAATGTGTTAAACAGTAATTTGCAGCAACAGTATTTATATTGAAGCATTTCATGACCTTGTGTCACAGTGGGTATATTGTGTAAACCTATGTGTGTAGCAGAGTAAAACTCTATTCATATCAGATTCTGTGTGAACTTGCCATCCATGTGAACCCCTCTTTCCTATTTACTAACTTATCTGTCTCTTTGTCTCTGCTTGCAGGTAGGAGAGATCCGAGCTCATGCTGCAGAGTGGACGGCTAACGTCTCAGCAGAGTTCAAAGAAACACGGCGACGTGTCAGTGTTGAGATCTACGATAAATTCCAGCGTGCTGCGTCAATTAAACGCAAACTGTCCTCAGAGCTGGGATTTAGCCCCGGCCCCGAGCTCGCTCTGCCGAAGAGGACCACGTCTGTAAATTTCATCGATGACAGGAACGAGAGGGAAGCCGGGGTGCAGACCCCGACGACACCTCTAGCAAGAAATGGAGGTTTGTTCATGAACGGGCTGGACCCAGAGAGGGGAGAAATCTCAGTCATTGAACACCTCAAGTAGAAAGAGGACAGTCAACATCTTTCGAGATCTTTTCAAGATCTTTCCATGTGTCATCGTTGGTGGCATCAGTGCTTGGAGCAGAGTTGCATGACCAAATGAACTGTTCTTACTCACAATTCAATTAATAGAGAAAGTGGTACTTTGTGACATATTCACCACTCTAAGGGGTTGTGAGGCTTGTTCAAGGACACTTTTCTCACCTCCTTCATTCCACCAGTGACACAAAGAGCAAGAAGAAGATACAGAACATGAGTTGATCTTGTTGAAATCAACAGTTAACCCTTAATAAAAAAAAAATTTACAAAAACAACAGTACAAAAGTCAGAGGAATGACCATGATGCCTGTCTGTGTTTGCAGCACTCCAATATTTATTTTTTCTTTACCACACAGAATTATACATTACATTATTGTTTTTTTAGCACTTTGGTTTAGAGGGAGCCATGAAACACTTTGACAGAGAGACAGAGATGTATTACATGCAACAAAGGTTGAACCGTTGACGATTATATGGTGTGTGGCTCTTCCCCTCTGCAGTCTTTTTAAGAAGGACGTTACCGTTTGCCTTTTGAATGCAGAACGACACTAACAATCCCAGTAGGCTTTTAACTGAAACATTACGCATATGGTGGGATGTGACGATGTCAGAACTAACTAAAAATGACGGAAGATGCTATCTGAACTGCAAAGATGATGGGCTCTTGATTTTGTGCTAAATCTGCAGAATGTAAAGATCATGAGATTGAGAGATGGTGAGATATGATATTGTTTGAACTACAGATGAGACCGAGCCGTGTGCCCTATTGAACTACAACAATGGAGGATTGGTTGAGCTCATATTAGGACCTTATTTATCAGATTTCCCACCTGGGAAACGTTGATAACTCACAAGAGTGTACTACACCAAAACTAAACACAAACTAACAGTTTGAAGTCTTTCTATCTGTAATTTCCACCATTATAACCAGCTGAATCAGCAGCAATGTATTTTGGAATAGTAGCTTAGGTGAAAAAAGGTTTCTGGGTAGGATACTGAATTTGTTGTCTATTGCCAATTACAGTTGGGTTTGTAACAATTATAATAATTACCACAAACCACTGAAATTGCTTTCATTTGCTTTTGGCATATTTTATCTCCAAACCTTATACAACGTGTACTGTAGGTAACTGTTCACATTTACACATTCAGTTTAAATAGTTACTGTTGTTACCAACAAGGATAAGCCATTACTTTTTACAGTTGTTTTTATGATTTTTTTCTATCAGTGATTTCAAAGAATAACTTCCTTCCCACCATTCAAACATGGTTTTGAGTGACCAAAGAGTTATGTCTCTATCTTACCCTTAAACTGGAGGGTGTGTAGCTTCCAATAATTAAAAACTGTTTGACCACTGTGGCAGCCATGTTGGCCCTATAGTCCTGCTGTCTGGGGCGTCTTTCAGTCGTCTTTAGCTGTCTTTATAATGTTGTCACCACAACATTTTGGTTTTGATAGAAGGCATCATTAGATTAAATTTGCAAAGCGGAAGAAGGTGGAAGCAGATCAAAGTGGTCAAAGTGTCTCTTCTGATTCTGGATGTAGTTTTTAAAATACACGTCAGCACTGAATGGCTCTCATGTATTTTGAATGTGATTTGTCAAACCAATGTAGTGCCTTAAACTCTTCACTTTGCCAAAACAAGCCAAGACACTGGGAGGTGGACAACTGATTTGTTATTTTTGAAGTGTTCATACTTACTTACTTTTTTGTTATCAGCAACCATTTAGTTTACTTCAACTGAGAAAAATGAGGTGTTTGAAAAACCAAATGCTGTTGGTCTATAATCAGTCCAACAAAGCTAAATCAGTTGTTCACACTCATGATAGTGTACAGACCTGGATCCACATGTGGCCATATTCATTCAATTTTGTTTTTTATAATAATATAATTTGCATGGCTCAGTGGATTAAGTGAGTGGACTGTTGCAGGCTTGACTGTTTTATCTGTTTTAGCAGCTGTAAGCAGAAAACTGTTGTAAGACGCAACCACTGAAATGTTTATTTATACTGACTGATATATTATGTATCAGAGTAACATTTAGGCTTTTTTTGTAAAATTTGGTGTATGCTTCAGTTTACTCTCTGCTGACTGACACAAAGCTGCTATTATTCAGAGTGACCTGCATTTCTGAGCGGTGCTACCAAATGTGTGAAAACATTTCTTGCAAGGAAATGTTTCTGATCTCTATAATGTCATTTTCAGCTGTCCAGCCTCTGGTGTCCTGGAGAATATTGTATCTCTAATTTAACAAATTTACTGTGGACACGTATGACCCGAAGGACAAGAGTGTGAGAAAACATCACAAATCATTTGTGTTGGTCATGAAAATTTTAATGTTACAGTTCAAGAGTAAATTAATGCTCTGCTTTTGTTACGCACACACAGACACACACAGACACAAACACACAACGAGGGTTTTCTTCCATGTGTACACCTGCCGTTGAAAATGCACTTTGATTTAACAGCCTTTGAACGTAACAACATGGTGTTCTATAGTCCATCCAATCAGAAGGCTTTGATTTTGTTGTTATGTGGCATTAACGACAACTACACAGTTCATCTCACAAACTTTTCTCATTAACAATCCAAGCAAGAGAATTTAACCCTTGTGGTGCAGCTAGTTTTATATGGTACCACTGATATATTAAGAACAGCAGTTAAAAATCCTGATGAATCAGAAAACTTGCTGTAAGAATTCAGTTCAGTTACAATTATTTTTTTATTTTTTTTCAGTCCTTATTGACTTGTATCTGTGAGAAAGGATTATTTAAATCCTATTTGAAGGCCTAACAAATCTTTAAGAAGCCTACTGGACATCCTAATTGTACTGGTAGAAAGGTGAAATATACTGTAGATATTTAGACTTTTACTACAGCAGCAGTATGGATCAGTACTAACACTGAATGGAAACGTATTACACTGTGTAGTTGCTGGTTGGTCTGCCTTTGCCTTCTCTCTTGCTATTCAGTTTGTTAGGACTTTGTTACACACTCATCTTATTTAGCTGTGCTAAAATGAAACTAACTTTTTTTCATTTTCTGCTAATGTGCTAGATCTTTAATGTTTTTATGACAAGATCTTGGAAACTGTATTTCTCTAACTGTGTGTTTGTACTTATACAGTGTTTCTACACTGATGTGAGTCTGGGAGAATTGTAATGTATGTAGAGCTTATCTAAACACAATGTAACAAACATTTTTGTACAGTGTATGACTTGAAAATATAACAGATTTAAATTCTTTCTCTGTTTACTGTGTTATTAAGAGTGATCAATCTTTGCTGTTAGAGTTCTAAATAACCAGAAGAAGAATACGCATCATATTTGTACATTAAGTGCTGCCGTCCTCACAGAAATTCCCGAACAACAAAATATGTTTAAACTCAGTAGTTGTTAAATCATATTTCAGTAGTCATATAAAACTGTATTCTACTTAAATACTGCATCATTTGTGATTAGAATAGTTTTTACTTGGTGTGCAAATGTTGGATATTTTGATTTGGATTTAATGCTAACATTTGCAAACCTTACAGAGTACCTTACAGTAACACCAGGCTGAAAAGCTCAGCCTGGTGTTACTGTAAGGTACTCTGTAAGTGTGTTTAGTGTTTTGTCTGGTTGAAAGTTTTAGTTCTGTTGTAACTTTGAACCCATCCTGCATTGTGTGGTCAGAAGTGTACTCACCTGCTACACCTGTAACCATCAAACCCAGCAGTGATGTCAGGGTGAGTACACTTCTACATCAACGTGAGTTGTTAAACCAGTGGAGGTAAAAATAAATAAATAAATGAAGATATCTTAAAACCCATTAGAGCCTTATTACTATTTTAACTCAGTCAAATCTGAACAAACAGACATGATACACATATTTTTAGATTCAGTGTGACTTACACTTTCTGCGTCCATGTCTATTGGGAATAAACGTCCATAAATCTGCTCAGTAATCACAGAAAAAAGTCACTCCTTACAAATGTAGAACTTGCCTGAGAATCATCATGTTTTAAGTTTTCTTCAGTATCAAAGTAATCCATTGAGAGTTTCACATCCATGGGTACATTGCAAACAGAAAGAGCTAACAGCTAATTCGAGATACATTCAGTAGTCCCAATTTACCAAAATGTAAACAAATTTAGGCTACAAAAATGGGGCTCAAGTTGTAGGCCATGACTAACTCACTGACTTCATGGACACAGTGGTCTCGATTTTGTCTGTGGTGGTGGGTTTGAAATGCCCTGATTAGTTCAATCTGATGATTACGGCAGATAAATAATGATGAAAGCTCTTGCAGATGTGTTTTCATCTTTGTACTGTGAGCAGTCCAACATGAACACACAAATCTCTGCCAAAGTTAGAACATCATTCAAATGAAAGATTTCTGCGTTTCTGTTTTTCTCTGCGCTCTCCTCGCTGGTTTGAAATTGTCTAGGCTCAGGAGGAAAAAGGTGATGCCACGCACGTCTGTGCACAAATCAGGATTTAGCAACATTTGAATTAAAACATCATGACTGTTGGAAGGTTGTTTAGTCACTGTCAGTCGTATCTGACAAAACCACAGAGTTTTTTTATAGAATAAAAAAAACTGATAACCAAAGGTGGGTTTATTTTACAAAAAGGTTTAACTGCATGATCCTTATTTAGTCATGGATATTTAAAGTTATAGAGAATATTTTTATAACATTTAACATTCAAGTTTTCAGGGCCTTTAAAGTTTCTCCGAGACCTGTAAAAACCCAGTTTCTCACCACTGCCAGACATAACTCTGCTTTATTAAATATTTGGAAGCACATTAATCAGTATCTTCTCTCCTCTCACAGCTGACAGCCATTGAACCACTGAGTAATTATTAGTGTTTAAACTTCCTGGATGATAGAGCAGCCTGATGAGTGTGACTGGCCAGTGTCAGCAGGTCTTATGATGCGTGAGGTAAAGATATCAAAGCAGGAAGTACAGACCAGAATCAACAGCACACAGTCAGTCAGATACTGTACACAGCCTCATTTCACTATGATATTTTCTCTATTGTAAGAGCACATCCAGCCAGCCAAGGTTTAGAGAACCAGGAGTAATGTAGAAAGCAAAGGACTGTTTATTGTTGAATTAAAATCAGTTCTACAAGAGAAAGCTGGTTATTGGCAAAGGTCAATATAACTAATTAAATCCCCCCATCCACTCAACAATGTGTTGTTCTTATTCTTAGTTCACTGTGCAGGATGATGCATAGCTTGAAGGCTGTTTTCACATTCATCTTCTGAAGGGAGAAGGTTTTTCTTCGCTCTTCTTAAATCTTAGTTTAACACAATTACATAAGACCATTACTATTTTGGAAGCCAAAGCCAAGTATGCAACTTACATATAACTTATGTGGAAACCTGAAACCCCCAGCACAAACACACACACACACACACACACACACACACAGAGGATAGACTTTTCACAGCCTTCAGGAGCAATTTCGGGCTCAGTATCTTGCCCAAGGACACTTAGACAAACTGGAGGAGCCAGGGATCGAACCACTGACCTTCTGATTAGTGGACAACCGCCTGAGCCACAGCCGAAGGCAAAGACTGATATCGATCTTCTCATCTAAAAATGTTGGATTACTGTTTTAAAACATGTCTGTAGGGGTTCTTTTGGCAGGTTTTTCAAATTTATATTTAATCATGAGGTTGGCTGTTGGATTGCGGGGAGTAAAAAGCAGTAGCTCGTTGCAGTTAAGTCCAAGTTCAAGACTGGTGCAGACTTCTACATGTATTCTCCATTTACCGCTACAAGCAGATCATTGCCAGGTTACCTTACTTTTTGGGAGGTTGCACCAAAGGGCCACATCACAGGGCCACATCACATGCTCACTATACTAACTATGACAAGCTGTCTTCAGAGGTCACTCTACCCAGATTACAAAACAAAAAGCAGTTTTCATTATTTACTTCACTACCTTCTCTCTAAAACTGTTCCCAGTCAGTGGATAATCCACAATAATCCGGACATTGTACTTGAAAAGACAAACTCATATGTTGCTGATGAGTTTTCTAAATGTCATTTTGCTTTGAGCAACACAAATAAAGCAAGAGAAGAAGCATGACTCCCTGTAGAGGCCAAACTCCGGCCCCACTGACTGTGTAACAACTGATCCCTGGTCCATCCTGCTACATCAAGATAATAGGTTCTGAAATGCACGACACACGTTATTTTTGACCATCTATTCATAGAAAAGCTTCTGTTTACAGTTTTTTCTGATTGCTTAAGCACATTTTTTGTAACTATTGGCTATTTTTGCAAAACTCTACACACAAATAAGAAAACCTTTCACCCAATTATCAAAACATTGTAGTTCTCTTGCAAAAGCGAACACAGCTAGATTAACTCTTCACACCTTCGTGAAAATGGTGTTTTCGTATCAAACAGTAAACACAAGCCATCATCGACTAAGCACACAATGTGCCAACTACACACTGATGGTATGAATACAAAACACATCTGGCTTTTGCTTTCTCTGTGTACAGATGTCAATTTGAGGTCATACTTTTGTCATAGGATCCAAACTTCAAGTATTGGTGTTTATTCACACTCATCAAAACCAAGACAAAGTCAGAACACAAAATAGTAATTTCACAAAACAAACAAACAAACAAACAAATCAGCCTACATCATGTCGTCTTTCTGGGTCCGGCCACAAAATTTCGTCCACATCGCATGCGATATCCTCCAGTCCAAGGCACCGGGGAAAATATTTCCTTGAATGCCGTATCCAGGCCTGACATGATGCCTGGTCAGTATCTCCACATGCCTCCTCCATTGCCTGTAAAAGGGCTACCTGTTGATGAGGATGACGGTCGTACACTTTCCAGCACCAGGCAGAGAAGAACTCCTCGATGAGATTTAAGAATGGAGAGTATGGAGGGAGGTTGAGTGCCATGAAGAATGGGTGGTCTGTAAACCAGTTGCGGACCAAAGCAGCCCTATGGAAACTAACATCGTCCCATATGATGACATATCGGGTCTGCTCTGGTGACAACAGTGAGCATGTCATGTAAGGTGTCCAGGAATGCAATAATGTGTGCAGTGTTGTATGGGCCTATGGTTGCATGATGGTGAACAACACCATTTTGGCTTATAGCTGCACACATGGTTATGTTACCACCACGTTGTCCTGGGACACTGATGATGGCACAGTGTCCAATAATGTTCCTGCCACGTCTCCTGGTTTTACTGAGGTTAAAACCGGCCTCATCTACAAAAAGTAGCTCATGTCCCATGGCATCTGCTTCTAGTTCCATCACTCTCTGGACAAGACAAAACAAATGCAACACATCAGGCCCATGCACAGCACTACAGTATGCACTTCCAAATTCAGAAGACACTATAGCTTACCTGCACATAGTCATATCGCAGTTGCTTTACACGTTCTGTGTTTCTCTCGAAAGGAACTCTGTAAATTTGCTTCATTCTTATTCTGTGGCGCGGAAGTACACGACTTAGTGCAGAAATGCTTACACTGTGTATATTTTGAAAGATGGTGTCATTAACAATAAAGCGCTGCTGTATTTCGCGCAGTCTTATTGCATTATTGGCAATCACCATGTTCACTATATGGGTCTCTTGCTCTGGAGTGAACATTCTTCCTCTGCCCCCAACATGTGGACGTCTAGCAATTCTGTAAAGTAACAATATCAGTATTTTTGCATGTATGGTACTGTTGTGATTCTCATTAGAGTATGGCAGTGCTACAAAGTACTTACCGATTCTCATTTCGAAATGTCCTAATGATGCTTGCCACAGTGTAGTGGCTCAAATTAGGCTGAACCCGATGGCCAGCTTCCCTCAGGGTCATCCCATGGTTGATGACATGGTCCACTATTGTAGCTCTGATGTCATCAGTTATTCTTTTTCTTACTCTTCTTACCCTTCCTCTTTCCCCTCCTCGTCCTCTTCTTGCTCCTCCTTGTCCTCTTCCTCTAACTTCCTCTAACCCTCTCGCTTCTTCAACTCCACATCCTCTTCCTCCAACTTCTTCACCTCCACGTCCTCTTCCTCCAACTTCTTCACCTCCACGTCCTCTCCCTCGGCCTCCTCTGATTCTCACTCTTCTCACTCTTACTGCTCGTTCCATTGTACTCCACACAGACAGCTTACCTGTGACTTATTTATAGTGCTTAGGCTGATTGCAAAGTGAACTACTTATCTAAAACAGTTTTCACATGTGAAAGTGTGCCAGACAGTTGGCAAAATAGTGTTAATGATAGCCATACATGTGTATAATTTTGCTAGGAGTATGTTGGAAATTTGGTAATTGAGTGTAAGCAGTGAGTTGTGTTTAAAGTTCTGCAAAAAGAGTGTTGTGCAGTGAATTGTGCCTACAGTTTTGCAAAGTGTGTGTTACAAAATTGCAAACTGAGTGCAAAGCAGTGTTTGTGCTTTTAGTTTTGCAAACTCAGTGA